TCATTTTTAAAAGAGAAAAAAAAAAAAACAATTATTTGTACATGCAATAAGCGTTAAAGTTATTCATAAAATTGATAGCTTAGCAAGAAAACTAAAGCAAATGAAAATGTAAATTGCTTTGTTCTCTTTTTTTCTTTTTCAAGAAAAGTTGGACAAAGAATGGAACGATTTATATTTTTGGACAAACATTGAGAACTTTGGAGCGAGCATAAAAGGCTATTACATCGTACGTGATGGGTGGTGCTATCAATTTGTACTTATGTTATTGTACAAACTGAATAAAGGAATCGAGATTGCAAAACTTGAAAAATAAGCTTGCCAAAAGGTAATGCTATCCACTTGAGTATAATCTTAGAACATGGTACATAGATATTTACCGATTGTGATGGTGATGTGGGGCTAGTTACGCATTTATGCATATCAACAAAATTTTGTTGCAAATTAATATCTTCTATTAATTAATTACAAGATGAGGCACAGATGAGAGGAAAATGAATCGAAAATGAACACATTTATTTTTCTATTTGAAAATACATATTATACAGATTTAATCAGCATGCATGATGATCTTGCGACATGCCTTCAAGATTTAGCAGGTCGATCTCAGTAACAAATGAATCATGCATGGTTGGTCGACAAACAAATAATTATAAAATTGAGGGATCCAAAGGTAATTACTATGGTCAGCTGTTGATGATCTTGAGATTGAACCATGTCCGGCAGCATTGTGCTTCCTCTTTCAACTCAAAAGGAAAGAAAATGAAAACAAAACTGGAAACAAAAATAAAAATCAAGAATAAGGAAAATTGGTTAGGTCGATTTTATTTTTCTTCAAGAAAATGATGCTATAAAAGCTGAATCAACTTTCGTAAGGAAGCCTAAAGGAACATACGCATACAAGGTAATTGTAATTAGAATTCATACTTTGAACAAATGGAAAGGGAAAAAAAATGCAACTCTCATGTAGATCTCTCAAGAAATATAAGACAAGTGATAATTGATGTTAGAGAAATTAGAGAGAGAAAAGGAGAGGAAGGGAAGATGAAGTCACTATATAAAGTATTGGTGGTGCACGTTTATGATTGGTGTGTTGTTATAAGGTACAAAGGACAAACAAGAATTAGTTATTGTTAATATATCTTCATCCATTGTCCGTACATTTTGAGTCAAGCCGAGTTTACCGGTTGCCCACACATATACAATTTATTATTATTTTTATTACTAAAAGTTATTATTAGTATCGGTAATCAATATTATTGTCAAGATAATTGTTTTGCTAATGACAATGGGAAGATAAAGATTCATTTATATTTTCTTTCAATTGATTAGTGTTACCAATCAATATATTCTTGCCTTTTTAGAGCATCTCCAATGTAATGATTTTAAAATACAATCATTTTTAACACATGTTAATCAATTATTACAATGTTAATTCACATAGAAATAATGTTAAAAAATTAAAAATTTGAATCAAATTAGTATCTCCAATGCATGAATATGAAAAGAAGTTATTTGTAGAAGTGGATCAATTAAAATAATTCATTAATACAAGAACAATAAAAAATTAAACATAAAATAAAGTGAATTGAATAAGTCATCATGTTTTATAATATTCATTTGGTGAATTAGTCTAAGCATAGTTATTATTATTATTATTATTATTATTATTATTATTATTATTATTATTATTATTATTATTATTATTATTTGTGTGTCCTCTGCATCATGATTTTTTCTTTTCTATTAAGCATTATAGATCTATCATCTTGTGTCACGCCCCACATCGAGTTGAACGGTGGTGCGACGTTGATAAACAACCAACAAATACTTAAAATATTTAATAGAGAAGAATGAAAAACAAAACAAAATTAGAACTCAACCTGGTGATACTAAATGGGAAAATTTTAATTTTAGTCCCACAGGTATGGGGGGTGACATTATTGGTCCCAGCGGAATGCCTAAAATACAAATGCTCCCGCAACTTTTAAGAAACGATCAAAAGTAGGACTTTCTGCCCTTTTCCGGCCCGGAAATCCACGTCGCACATACGTGGTGTTTTTTCTTTTCCACGCTGGCCTAATACGTCTGACGTGGCTAAGACACCCACACGCCTGCCAAATAAAACGGGAAAAATCAGAAGGATCGAACATTTGAATCTCAATTTCCCAAAATTAGAACCCTAATCCCCAAATCGGCCCAACTCACTACAAAATCGCCCCAAATTCGCCGCGTAATTTGTTCTAGTCGAAAGCACACTTGAGGAGAAGGTGAACGCAGGAACAGGCATACTCATATTTCTTCCCCCAATTTCCCAAAATTGTCAAATCTCAGCCCTAGTTGAAATGTCTTTTGTCACCGGAGATGGGATATGCCGTTGTGGTCGGAGGACGGTGATTCGCACAACGTGGAAGGACGCCAACCCTGAGCGGCGATTCCAGTCATGCTTGAATTACGAGGTAAGGTGTTCAATTCAAGGGAAAATTTAATGAAGTCTTTTATTCATATGTGAAGAATTAAACATTTTTTCTTGATTTATAAATTATACTATCACAGAATGGAGGATGTGATTTCTTTGACTGGTACGATCCTCCAATGCGCCGTAGGTCTAAAGTGATAATTCCTGGCCTCTTGAGGAAGATGAATGAAAGAGAAGCTGAGATTGAGAATCTGAAATTAAAAAATGAACATTTGGTCAAGTTGGATAAAAAGTTGAAGAAGATGAATGAAAGAGAAGCTGAGATTGAGAAGCTGATTAAAAAATGAACATTTGGTGAAGTTGGTTAAAAAGTTGAAGAAGATTGTCTGCATTTTGGTTCTTTTACTGGTTTTTACCATATTGTCCAAGTCCAAAGTTGCTAAGGAGAACCCAAGTGGAATGAACCAAATGAAGATGTTGCAGTGACTGTCCTTTAGAATGGTAGGATGCTTCAGTGTCCTTTTGCTATAGTGAAGATGTTGGTGTTTGCATTTTGATTGGTAGGATGGTGTAAACTTTTTTCTTGTGTTTTGTATTTTGTGAGGATGGTTAAGATGTTAGGATCCTATTTATGTTATGTTAAGACCTTTTGGTAAGATGTAAGATGTCGTATTTGGAATGACAAAAGCTGTCTTTTGGTTTATTTTGGTATGTTATGAGAGAATGTTAAAGGTTTATTTTTATTGTTAATTTGTTATGCTTAAAACCAAAACAAAAGCATATAACCTGTGTTTCATTAGGAGATGAGCTGCATTATGAGACCAAATACAAAACATTATGAGAACTTCATAAAGGACACTAACACAAACACAATATCACCAATACCAAATTCATTACATAGTTCTTGCCATTGTAATCAAACACAATCCGAAGAACATCTACACCAAAAGCTGTTTGTCCACATGAGAACCAAAACAAATATACATCAACCATCCAATTGTTTCTGACCCAAAACATGTCCAAAGCAAGTTTCATAATAAAATATCATTATATCACTTAACCTAACACACAAATTTTCATTGTATTCACTTCTTTCTCCACTTTTCTTTCTTCATTTGCACTCCTGTTTGGCTTTCCTGAGAAAGGTTCATGAACTTTTTCCCACCTTCCACCACAATTGACTTCGAGCTGTTGGGCTTGGTACTGAATTATGGTCTGCTATATCCTCCTGTGATTGGTGGGGGTGCTCTGATATTGAGCCTAGTGTGCAGAGGGTTAATCACAGGTGGCTGGTTTGTAGACATTCTCAGCTGCTCAGATGGAGAAGGAACTGGCTTGTGAGGTTGCACATACTGATATATGTTGCTGTCAACCTGGCTTTCAACTGCTGCCATCAATTCCTGATCTGAAATCACACTATCCATCAGATCCTCTTGGGTGGGTGGTAAAATATGTGAATTCTCCACACCTCTTTTGCTTTGATTGTTAACCTGAAAAATATAAATAGTTATAATAATATTGTAAAAGAGCAAACAAAATACATGTGTAAGAAATATACTTGTGGCTGAGGCTGCTCATGTTCATAGTTGTCCATCTTAGTATAGTTATCAATTGCTGCCATCAACTGCTCATCTGAGATGACACTATTCATCAAATCATTTTCTCTGGGTGGTAAAGTATTGGCAGTTGCATGAACCTCTTGTTGTTGTTGTGGTGCATGACAAGATTTTCCAACTCCATCTGTGTTTTTCTTAGTAACCTAGCCAACCCACATATTCATAACTTGTTTGATACAAGGAGCAATTAATTGAAATAAATATTTTTTTGTAAGTGTTCGCCTATATTTTTAAAGCTCGACCGCAAGTGTACGGCTTCGCTCGTAGTATGTGGCAAGCAAGGTCGTATACCAAGAGACCAAATAATTAATATATCAAGTACCAGATATGATAGTGTCAACTTTATTTAGACGACCGAATATGAGATGGATTAACTAAACTAAGGAAATATAATTAAAGAGAAATAAAGCAACAAGAAGAAACTAGCTAGAAAAACACTTAAGAAGAATATATGGGAATGGTAGATTCTAAGACTATGGGTTCAATTAACAGTTGGGTTCCTTCAAATTTACCACAACTAACTATTTTCTTTATCTACCCTATAAGATGATCGCAATTTTAGCCTATCGTCCCTCTCGAGATCGATAAAACCGTAGATTAAATCACATATATTAGCGTCTCCACTCAACACATGCAATTCAACTCCAATTAATACAAAAGATCTAATATCCTCACAATGACCTACTAATCTCTCGATTCAAGCAAGTAAATTGTGTCAAATATTAAGGACCTAATATTGAACTCATCTCTCGAATTATGAACAATATTGTCAAACATGTAAAAGAATTGATCAAGTTCTAAACATGAAATAAGAACAAAATATTTGAATAGGGTTCAAAAGAAAACAATCAACTATGATAAATCATCCAAAATCCCAACATATTAATCTACTACCATGTCTTAGAATCAATGAAATTTAGCTACTCATGTTTGAAATCAAATACATAGACATATTCAAAATCAACATGAGGAAATAAGTTCAAAAGAGAGAAAGAAAAACTAGTAAGCTTGTGGTTGATCTTCTCTTCTTCTCAATTGCTTCTCCTGTGTGTTCTCTAGCTCCCTTCCTTGCGTAATCACGTTCTAAGGTTCAAAATCAGGTAAATATGTCTTTTTATAGGTCCAAAAGTCCTTTCCTAACCGAGAAAGGCAAAGGATTAAAAACTGCCCGCGACGCGACACGACCTGACACGCCCGTGTCACGGGTCGTGTCAGGTATCAAGCCTCGGAATGTCCCTGTTCACGTGACACGGCCACCTGACACGGGCATGGTGCCCGTGTCACCGTCCGTGTCACATCCCAGCACTCTCGTTTTTGTCCGTTTCACTCATTTCTTCCATTTTTCTCATCCGTGCATCAATCCATCATCATCTCGGGGGTCCTAGGTACTCACCATGCGCCTCCAATAGCCACAAGCTCTACAAATATGTGAAAATATCTACAAAACAAGCACGTGTAATACCTTTCCAACAAATAGAGAATTAAAGCACAAATATGCGATTTGTACACCAATAATGCAATGACTAAGCTCTAAATACTCAATAAATATGGTGTAAAATCACACATGAACAGTAAGAAAAGATGTAATTTTACCTTTAACTTCTCCCTCCTCATAGGGATATTGGCATTTGCATTTGCATTTGCTTCTTATTGTTGTGCTGCAGTAACCTAGACAATATACATATTTATAAGAAGTTTCTTAGAATGAGCAATCATTTCAAATACATGAATTTGTAAGAAAATTAATGTAAGGACAATATATATTTTACCTTGCATCTAAGAGCATTGTGTCCTGTTGCATGACATTTAGAACACCTTACAGTTGTTTGTTGTTTCTTAAGCTTGAATGGACAAGTTGACCTCTTTCTTTTACCCCTCGATTCATCAGGTTCTCTTCTTCTTAAAGAAATGGGTCTGCCTCTGCCTTTTTTCTTACTAGGAAGGGGGGGTAAGGGAGGAACATAGGATGTCTGCCCCCATACAGAGTCACCACTCATTGGCATGATTGCACATTCATATGCTAGTCTGTAGGAGTCTACTAAGTAAAAATGGCTCACAAAGCCAACTGGTCTTCTTTTTGGTTGATAATGGCTCTAAAAGCATGTGTGCAAGGTATCCCACTCAACTCCCAAGCCCTACAGGTACATGTTTTTTTGTCAAGGGCCACAGCATATTGTTCTCCACCAGAGCAAGAAATTTGATAATTTTTATCATCTGCTTTAATTAGAATGCACTCACCCATTTTCTCTATATGTTTGTCCAAGATCTTTTGTATCTTAGGACACAATTTTCCTTGCCATTTTGCAGCTGCTCTGTCCCTATTATGCTGGAGCCTTACCATCAGATACTCTCTAATCCATTCCAGCAAAGTGATGATGGGCTTGTCTCTTGCCTCAAGGATATTGGAATTGAAAGCCTCACAGACATTGTTAAGCACCATATCAAATTTTGGGACACCTGAGAAGTGTGATTTTGACCATTCACTTGGTGCTTTATCATGAAACCATGACCATGCTTCTTCACTGAGATTTTTCATATCCATCATCCTCCTCTTAAATTCCCCAACTTTAGTAGCTTGTGCAGCACCCCACAATGCTAGCTTAAAACTTAAGCCCCTGAAACCTGCATTCTTGAAGTTGCAGTGCAGGTGTCTAACACAGAACCTATGAGGACTATTTGGAAAAACCTCTTTGAAAGCCTGTATTAAACCCTTTTGTTTGTCACTCATGAAGGTCATTTGCTCATCAACATCAATCTCTAGGTCTGACTTAAGTATGGACAAAAACCATGACCAAGTCTCTCTTGTTTCTCCACTGACAATAGCATAAGTTATGGGGAATAAATTGTTGTTGGGATCAACACCCACGCAGTCAGCAAGATACCTAGATTATGTCCCTTCAAGTGACAACCATCTACACCAATTATAGGCCTACATCCCTTTTTGAATCCCCTTTTCAAAGCATTAAAACAACAGTAGAACTTACTGAATCTGGTTTCACCATTTGAAGTGATAGTGTCAAGGATAACAGTGCTTCCAGGATTGGTCTTCCTCAGCTCATCAGAGTAGTCCCACAACTTATAGAATTGCACAGAAGGATCACCTTGTATCACTTTCAAAGCTCTCCTCTTGGCCCTGTATGCTTGTTGCTTGGAAACATCAACTCCAAGCTTTTTAATCACTTCAGCCCTCCACCCTTTGGTAGTCCTCTTAGGATCAGTCTCAAAACTTTCCAGATACTTTTCACTCAACCATTTACTTTGTAAGTTCTTCACAATGAACTCTGGTTGACAAGTGTGATCAGGAAAGTAAGTAGAAATTATAAAAGTTTCTTCATCTGGTTTCTTAAGAGCATTGATTCTCCATTTGCAGCTCTCAGCCTTACACTTAACATATACCCTTCTATTGTCATTCTTTGTAAACTTCAAGTTTCTTTTTGTGCTAATAGCATGAGACTGAATTGCCTTCTTAAATTCTGCCTTAGTAGCAAAAACCATGCCTAATTCAAATGTTGGATTGAGAATAAGTGCAGGGTTGAAGGCAGGCTCACTTGGCTCACAATCTTCATCAGACACCCTAAACTCATCTAGTTGAGGGCTATGGATAACCACATCATCTTCCTCATCATCATTATCTGTACCATTGACATCATTATATGAACCATGGACATCATTATCTGAACCATTGACATCATTATCTGAACCATTGACATGTTTGTCCATATCATCAACATGTTCTTACCACAAATCATCATCATCTTCACTACTATTTTCAGTACTCATGTTGTAATCAGAATCATTTAATTCATCATAATCAGAATTATTTTCATCCACAAACATCCTATTCCTACTTACACCCATGGCTTCTTCATATGGTAGCCAGATGGAGCCCAATGTCTTCTTATTTGGATCATTTGGAACAGACTCAGGAGCAGATTTAGGGTCATTAGACTTAGAGGGCTCACCAGACTCATTAGGTTCAACAACAGGATCCATCAAATCAACAAATATATGCATCCTCTCTAGTTTTAACAGCATCTTGAACAAATTTACTAAGATCTCTGTCACTGCACAATAACAAAAACCCACTACTCTCATACATGTACAACCCCATCTCTCCAGTGATCCCTACTTGTTTGCACCAAAGAGTGATAGCCAACAATTTCAATTCTTGTGGGGTGACATATTCAACTATAAAAATCTTACCTCCTTCATATTTTGGTGTTGGGAAATGTTGAAATTTTCCATTCCAATGCACCACCAATGTGAAAGAATCAAACGTTGGATCTGTAAATTTTTGGGAAACAAAAAGTGGTCAACTCAAAAATCCCGAAACAATGGAACAAAATACACAAAATCGAAATAAACTCAAATGATAACTTACGATATATGGGAGGAGGCAAATTCTGGTGCAATTTTTGACGAAGAAACCCCAACCGCGTTCAGCCTTATGCGCAATTGTGATTTTGATCAACTTCAATCGTTTACTCGAAGTTGGGGCGATTTGTTTGGGGTTGGGGATTAGGGTTCTATAAAAAATTTGGGGCAATTGTGATTTTTGGGGGGAATCCTTCTGATTTTCCCTCGTTTTATTAGCAGGCGTGTGGGTGTCTCAGCCACGTCAGACGTATGAGGCCAGCTTGGAAAAGAAAAAACGCCACGTATGTGCGACGTGGATTTCCGGGCCGAAAAAGGGCAGAAAGTCCTACTTTTGATCGTTTCTTAAAAGTTGCGGGGCCATTTGTATTTTAGGCATTCCGTTGGGACCAATAATGTCATCCCCCCATACCTGTGGGACTAAAATTGAAAAATTCAAAATTTGAATCATATGATTTTCGTTTTT